ATTTTTACCACCCACAGGAGTCCAAATACAAAATATATAAATATAAACAGAAAATCCTAGGAAATCAAAAAAACTAAAATTTATATGATAATAAAAATATATTATAAAAGATCTAATTATTTAAAAAAAAATTAAGTAAATCATGCTCTAAAGCTGAGGGTGGGTGGGTTTCTGAAAATTAATAAACATACCTCCTTAATTATTTTTTAAGCACACAAGACAACTGAATTTTGCACAATAGGAAGCTATAACTATTACGTTGATAACAAGTTCACTTTAATTTAGTTCTATCAAAGAAATACATACCAGAGGCGGATCCAGGATTTTTTGGTGCATTTAAATTTCAGGGTTTTTTTTTTTTTTTAAACATCATTGCTTCCAACAAGGCTGCAAGCAACCACTAATTAGTGTTGGAAGTTACAGGAAGAGAAAAGATGAAGATTGTAGAGCAAGATAACGATTGACAGACGACTTTAAAGATTGCAAATTATATGAATCAGGTAAGTTCTAAACTCCAAACTTTTTTATGCTCATACTTATGTCATTTAAGAATGCTTTGCCAAAAATTGCATTGATTAGAGCAAGGGAACAAAAATACCCTAACTAGTGGGCATCTCCTAGGAAATGATTTTTCAAAAAAAAAAAAACTTCTTCCTTTAATAAAATTCAAATGTGAATCTATATTTAAAGTTTGATCAAAAAATCATCTAGCGTTTAAAAGTTATAGTCATTTAAAGTTTAAAGCCCCCTCAAAACAAGGGGGTTGTAAATTTAAACTGGGTGTAATTTCTAAACATAATATTTTTCAAAAAAAAATTTAGAACCTTAACGATATTATCACCTAATTTAGGATATTAGAATATATATTTAGAAAAACCCAATTAAGAGGTTCAAACTTGAACTTTGAACCTCTTAATTGGGAACTGAGATACCATTTATTTAAATATACTATATGTTTAGAATAATTAGCCTGTTGAAACTGCTACTGATCCATAATGCCATTCATGTTGTACAGTTTTCAAACTTTGTCTGCACTAAAACAGCTCAAATTATTGATTTTTAGTTTCAAGTTAAAAACTCAACCCTTACATGTCAATGGGTTATATTTTTTCTTAACTAATTTATAGTGAGATCAACCATTATTAATAACCATGAGATCATTATTAATAATAATGAGATCAACCATTATAAATCAAAACATAGGTAGAATCATCACTCCAAATAACTTTAGACTCCAAATGATTATACACCCAATTTTTGTTCTCAAAGCACCGCTGAACTTCATTTTTTAGCTAAGTATTTCACTAACAAATATTTTTTTTAATTTACTAAATTATATTTTCTTTCAATAAGATATCATTCATCAGCCACTCCTCTCAAAAATTCAAGATAACCTCTTTTAGCTGACCCAGAGAAACAAGATGTGGGGTTTGAAAGCACTTGACTCTGTGATCACAAAAATGTAAAAGTTGAAATCAAAACATTATATCCAAGAAAATAATTCAACATTTAAATGTATTACTATAAACAGCAATAGAGTAGATGACGGCTTTTGACATTTCTACAGCATATATAATTGTATTACTGACTGGTGTCCTTTTGTATGTGACAATCAAGGTACACTCACTATAAATTCCCATTTTTTAAGTAAACTTTTTGGGAAAATGCACGATTTATTTGTTTACAAAAAATTCATGATAAGCATAATTTTCAACTGCCGCAATAAAAATGCCCACTTTTGCAAAATCACAAAAGAAAACTGAAAAACTGTCTGTTTTCTTTGCATGCACAAGGCAAAACGAGAGGTAACACCTTTAATAATTGAAGTGAAGACAGTTCTCCAAAGAGATGTTGATTTTCATGACTCAAGAGTTCCAAAAGGAATTTGTGAAGGATGCCGTTCAGCAATGAGGAGAAAAGATGAAGACAAAAAAGTAAGCATACCACTGCCATTCAATTTTCAAGAAATCTATCCCAAGATTTCCACAAGAGAGCAAGCTTACCAATGCCTCATCTGTCAAATTGGTCAACTCAAGCTCAATCAAAGACATCCTTTTGGAAAATTGGCAGAAGTCTGAAAACGAGAAGGGTGACCATAGATGCTCCAAATGTCTTGCAGTTCTTGACAAAGGTATGTCCCATCCTTGCAATGAATATATATTTTGGGAAAACATGAGGTTGCTTGCAGCTAAAGATAGCAAAGTTTCTGACCAAATAGCTGCTACTGTTATCAGTCAAAAAGAGGCATCACCACATGGAACAATTCCCTAAATCAAGCTCAAGGTGGATGATCGTTGGCATTGACACCAGGTAGATTTTTGCTTTGCTCATAAATTTATTTTTAAAAAATAAACACGATGTACTTAATTATAAATTTATAATGACAGGTTCTTCAAGCTCTCGGCAGTTGTTTGAGGCCCCTACAAGAGTGACAGCACAAGATCTTGCCCAAATTCAGATCAATACAGGAATGTCCAACAATGGCATAAGAAAGCTAGCATCAACTCTTAATCAAGTATCACAGGTTAAAGTCACTGAACCATACATTGACTCTAAGTTTCTTGAAATAGGAACCAATCTTGCAAGTTTTTTCACATATTCAAAGCCAGGCTTGCTCGGGAAGCGGGTGCGATCGCACTCGATAATTGACCATGGAAATAATATTTAGTTGCGAAAAACCGGCCAGATTTTTTAGTTGTTTTGAGAACATTTCAAAAACAAACAAAAAAGCACAAAAAGATTAACTGGACCAATGAGAGACAGTTAAAAAAAGAAAAATAGCTTTTAACGCGAAAAAATTTTAGGCAAAATAAACACGATTAGAGCAAATAATTTTGAAACGTCGCTTTTTTATAATTTTTTTCATAAAACTAAGTCACATTTTTTATATAAAGTAACAACTTACTATTAATGATTGTTTAATAAGGTAACAAATGTTCTCCGATTTATCAAAGAGTATATATAATTTTTATTTATATACTTACGTCTTATTTACAGTGCTGGATTTAGGAGGTAGGGGAGGGGGAGTAGAAGGGCTATAGCCTCGTAACTTACAATGTTAGGGGCCCCGAAATAGTCAAGAGGAATAATAGGTATTTTTTTCAGTCATTTTTACGCTGTGGCACATAAAACAGGCCGCCAAAATAATGCAGTCCCTGGCCCTGAAAAGTCCAAACAAATTCAACCAATAAAACTAATGCTAGGTGATTCATTTATTAATAAAAAAGTTTTTTCAATAACTGTTTTATTCTTCGCGTAGTTTGAAAAGTTTAACACATTTAAAACTATTTTTCTTAGTAAGATTAACAAATGAAATAATTAAATCATTGAGTTACTGTAGAAATTCAATTAGCTAAATAGAAATTAACCAAAAACGTTAAATTACTATGTGAGGAGGAAGCGGAACTGCTTCATAATAACGCTGATGATGTTTAGTGAGTGGGCTTTATAATTTTAATTAATATTTAAAACAGAAAAAAGTAACTTTAAGTTTAAGAATAACAAGTTTGTAAGAATGGCTGAAGCAAAAATAATTGAAGTTAGTAAACCAATTTCTAAAAACTTAAAAACTTTTCTTTCTTGTGTAATCAGTTATCAGTTAAACTTTTCTTTCTTGTGTAATCAGTAATCAGTTATCGGGTACACTGAGGAAAATGGATTAGTGGTTAAAATTATTTGTATTGACATTGATGATTATTATTCATTTATTATTAGAAAATTCGGTTAGTATTTTTTGAATCAATAGAATTAGTTGTTCGTAGATTTGGCGGGTATTTTGTTTTTTTTTTTTACTTTTCTGCACAAAGATTGTTTGAGAACATTCGAGTTTATGTTTCCATGTATATCCGTAAACAAAATATTTCAAAATTTACGCTAAAATAATGAACTTAACTAAGGAAACATACATAAATTTAAATGTTCTCAAAACGACTAAAATATCTGGCCGGTTTTTCACAACTAAATATTATTTCTGTGCTCAGTTATCGAGTGCGATCGCACCCGCTTCCCGACCAAGCCTGATTCAAAGCTAGAAGTCATGCAAGAGAAAGAGTCAAAAGTCGAAATATCAACAATTATTCACTGTAAAGATTTTTTTGAACTGCTGGAGCACAGCCTTTTAGAAAGAAAAATATTTTCTGATCACATTGTCAAGCTTGGAATAGATGGGGAAGCTGGATTTCTAAAAGTTTCTCTTGAGGTTGTAGAAACATTACAACACTGCAAAGTTCGTTCTCCACCAAGCAAATGACTCCTGACAGTAAAGAGCTCCAAAGAGAGTAGTTGCAATCAGCAACTTATTGTTGCTGTCTCTGAAGGAATGTCTGAAAACTATTCTAACCTCAAGAATGTTTTCTCCTTGATCAAAGCTGACTCAAAGAATTTTGTGGTATCTTGTGACTTGAAAGTTGCCAATATTCTATGTGGTTTTCAATCTCACGCTTTCATGCATCCATGCACATGGTGCACAATTCCTTCAACTAACCTTGCTGAATATGGAGACCTACAAACTTTTGGTTCCCTCAAAGCCTCTTTTCAAGCATTTGCTTCTGCTGGCAGTGATGTAAAAAATGCCAAGAAATATGAGAATGTCATCCATAAACCTATTCTTCATGCAAATGACACTAGTCTGGTTTTGGAAATTATCCCTCCCATGGAGCTTCATCTTTTGCTTGGAGTTATTAACCACCTCTACAAAATTCACAAAACAGTCTGGCCTCCAACTGATGAGTGGGCAACTGCTCTTCATATTAATCTTCAGCCTTACCATGGAGGTAATTTCATTGACAATGTTTGCGGCCTTGCTTGTCAAGGTTCGTGTTTTGGAGTTAAAGAGTTGAGAAAGGGTTGTACCACGATTTACAACAACAACAACAAAAAAATGAGTAGCCTTCTCAACTGTAGTGACTTCCTCGAGCCTTGGGGAGGTGAATAATTAAAAAAAAAAAAAAAAATTAATAAAAACATTATTACAAAACTATAAGTAAAAAAGGTTCACATACTTTATGCTCTCTCTTTATTTCATATCCTGGTCGCTCTAAGAAGCAAGAATTTATTGATTTGCAAACTAAGCAACTTTCTCCAAGAATGAACAAGCTGTAGAGTCCTTCTTGATATACTTTTTTACAATGAGAACATAAAACTTGATTATTATGTTTTTCGTTATTGATACTTTTAATGGGTTCAATAGAACGAACTTCACACGTAAGTAACATTGTTTTTAACTTTGAAATATAATCAATTATTTTATTCAAAAAATCACCTATGTAAATGTCACTATACTCTAATATCAAAAGAGAAGATTGCAATATACTGTATGTTTCTATTTCACTATTGTTTTCAAGATTATCTGTATGATTACAAAAAAACAGTTGTTTATTATTGTTTTTAATTTTATTAAATTTATTCCAATAAGATGATGATGTAGGAAAGCACTTCATACTATTTTTTAAAGCATTATACAGCATCTTTGATTCAATTTTATAGCATTTTTCTGAAGATAACTTACTAGATTCTGAAGATACTTTAGGTAGCAAAAAACTAATTAAGTTTTGGTTAACTGATGACTCCTTAAACCCCTCAGCATTGAAACTAGTTTTTGGTGAACCTTTTAGATTAGGTGGAATTTTTTTTTTTTGAGTTGCAATAATTAACTTTTTATTTTGCTCTTGAACACTTTCAATTTCTTTTTGATTGAATGTCAACTGAGTTTGTAATCTTTCTACTTCCGATAAAAGATTTTTTTCTTTTTCACTCTGCTGTGTCTTTAACTCATTTTCTAATTTATTAACTGATTCTTTTAATCTGTACTCTTGCTCTGACATTTTTCTTATGCTTTCACGAAGAATTTTAATTTCTCCATCTTTCGATTGGTACCTTCGTTCAGAATCAGTTAACTTACATTTCAAGTCATTTAACTGACAAATTATATCCTGCGTTTTATTATTTTCAATTAACTGCTTAGCTGTGACTATGTTTTCAGGTAGTTTTGCTGATAACTTGTATGATTCATTAATATTAAAAAAATTTTCTTCAACTCTTATTTCTTTTTTTGTATTTAAGTTTACAGATCCATCAACAGGAAGTTCTTCTTTATGAGAACTGCTGAATGAACTAGAGTTCTTTTTAGGTAACTTTAATTTTAAAGTGTTTTTATTTATTAATGGGACACTGCATGGTTCTTTTACTATTTCACAACCAAAGTTATCATCCATTAGTTCATCTAAAATACAATCTGGATTGTTAATTTTTGTATCATTTTCACTGCTAGATTTACTCGATTTTGTGCAATTAACTTGTTGTGTAGCAGCTATTTCAATCCTGTTAATTTCATTTTCTGCCTCATTAAAATCAAAACCATCTTCAAATTCATCAAACATGTTTTCTTGTTTAACAACTAATTCAGCTCTTTTTTTAGTTCCATTATTCAATTTAAATTTTTTACTTGCTGGCTGTGACAGCAGCATGTTTAGGTCATCAGGAAAGTCGCATCTGTCATTTGATTTTTGAAACTTTTGCTCAGTATTTTTACTTGATTCAGGGAAAGATTTATAAACAAATCTTTTTATTTTATTTCCTTGCATAATTATTTTATATGAAGTCGAAATAAATCATAATATATCTCTTGACATGATTAAGAGATTATTTTACGACTAATTATAACAATTAAAGTTGTCAATATCAATTATTTTGCGGACAAAAGATTTTGTCAGTTTATGGGTAAGTACATGATTCCATAGCGTAAAGTTAGGTCCCGTAAAATGTTCCGCAATTGTCCCGCTTCACGTCCAGGACAGAGTTAACATAATTAATTTTTGCATTTATAATTTAATTTATGAAATAATTAATATTCTTTAAATGTGGAGCACGTTTTCACCTGGTTATCGTCGAAGATTAAATTTAAATTAGTAAAAAAAATATTATTACAGATAATAATAATTTAAATTTATTAGAAAAAACAACATTGAGTAGAGGTAATACAAGACATTTTAACTTTTTTAGACAAAATATTTTAAATTTTGAATATAAAAAGCTTAAGTTCATGTTTGTTTTACTACTCGTTTAAAAACATTTCTCAGGAATGACATCCCTGAGAAATTTAAAAATTTTAAAAATATTCCGAATGTTTTTAAGCGAGTAATATAATATAAGCTTTTTATATTCATAATTTAAAATATTTTGTCTAAAAAGGAATTTCCTCTACAAGCACGCTTTAAATGAAGTATCAATTTCCACGTTTGTATGGTTGTTACTGTTTAAATTTTTTTAGTTGTTATTTCTCAAGAAGGAAGTTGGGTTACTGTAGAAACATACGTTGAAGTACTTTTTTTGATACATAGCTACGAAACAGAGGCTGTATCAAAGTTTTCGTGCTTTAGTGGCACTATAGCATGATTCATGCTATAGTGTATCAAAGTTTTCATGCCATGAAAACTTTGATACAGCCTCTGTTTCGTAGCTATGTATCAAAAAAAGTACTTCAACGTATGTTTCTACAGTAAGCCAACTTCTTTCCTTTCCTTTAGCAGCACTATTAGTGCTGCTAAAAACTGGAAATATGGTATGACAATTTTAATTGAGTGTTTTTAAAATGCAATTGCTAAATTTTAATTTTCTTTTATATTTGTATAGTTATTATTTAAAATTTTTGTTGTTGTTGTTATCTTTAAAGATTCTTCTGCAAAACACCACAAAATAAGATGATTCAATATCATTTAATGGTACTCCCTTTATGGTTTTAGGATGTAAAGTGCTTGATTGTATGCACGGGAATGATAGAAAAGCCTCTTTTAAAGAATTTTATAAAATTCATTTATTATTATAATATGTTTTTCTTTATCAATTTGTTTCTAAAATAGCTTCTGTATTTAATGATTATATGTCTAAACCTTTTATTTTTGTTCTTTTGTCTAATTTTCTTAATAGGTATCAGAAATTCTGTTTTTTATTCTTTTTAAAATAAACTTTGTTTTAGATTGCTGAGGATACTAAATTTAGAAGAGTGCAATTCTCAAACCGTATTAAAAGATGCTTTGTCAAGAAATAAAGTAGTAAGGGAAAGAGTGTTTCCAGTTTGCTTTCCTTCAAAAAGTTCTCATACTGGTCATTTTACTAGAGATGTAAGATTTCTTTTTTCTTTTTTGTGTAGATAAAGTTAAACAATAGATTTTAAAAGAAAAAAATATTAAAGAGTTATCCAAATTAATTTTCATTTCTTGTTTGCCTGTTTTAAACATCTTAAAGTTAGTTTATTATTTCAAACATGTTATTTAACTTGTTTTGTCATATAACATTTATTAAATTTTAACATTTATATTAATATGTTTCCATTTATTTAAACCAACAACAATAAGGTTGTAGTAAATCTTAATTGCTATTTTATTGCTGTTGTTTAGGAACTTTAGATTTAATATTGTTTAAAATATGTATAAACTTTCTTGTGTTAAGTATATTTAGTATATCATATTTAGTATCTTGATCCAGATTACTTAAGGCCTTAAATTTAAATGCCTGCTCCAAATGATAGTTTTGTTATATACTCGGTATGTTCTTGTACTATTCCTAATATATGTAATATTGTTCATACAAACTTCAATATTTTCACCAGGGGTGGGTTTTGTCACTCACCAAGGAGGTGGCTAAAATGGTTTTTAAAAAAAAAGGTCCGCATTTTTTCACTTAAAAGTGACTTTCTTTAACTTTTTGTACTTTAGTGTAATAATCAAGTTCATATATGTATAATTACCTATAATAGTCAATTACCTATAATAGTCAATCCCAATGAGGGGCGGGGGCAACTACCCCCATGCCCACTCTAAAACTTGCCACTGATTTTCACAGTCTGCTGAAGCTATTAAGTGTATCAATGAAGAGAACTGATCTATCAATCATTTTTACTAGCAATCAATAAAATATCTCATTGGAAGTAGGAAGAAGGAAGCTTGTACTATTGTAAAATAAAATGATATCTGTTTCTGTAGCATTATATATATTAAAGCGTACTTTATATTAGATCAAATTGCATGATTTCACATTTATCCTTATTAAAACTGATTAGCCTTTTTTTTTTCCAGTTAAATAAGATGTCAAGATCAAACTGTGTAGAGTGATTTTTTTTTTTTTTTTTTTTTTTTCTAATCGAGTTATTTTTTAAATTTTCAAAATATTTTCAAAAATTTCAAATACTTCTTGGAATATGCATCTTAAATATGGAACTCATATTTTAATAAAGATATAAATTTTATCGAAAGTCCAACAAAAAGCCACAAAAATTGGCTACAAAAGAAAGGGAGCAAGTTACGAGCAAAGATTAAAAGAAATGGGCTTACAAAATCTATCAAATAGAAGAGAAAACAGCGATCTCATTAAAATGTTTGAACTTATAAACAACCATGATATTATCAATTAGAACTGCGTTCCACAAGTATTGGGTAGGCTTACAGAAGCCACAATCAAAGGTCGAGAAGACATTTTGTTAAAAACTTTTTGTTGAGACCAATTTTTTTACAAACCATATACAGTGGGTTGCCAAATTATTTGGGACACTTCACTTTTTAAGTAATTTTAAAGTTTAAATGATTTTTGCAAGTTAATAATTTTTTTTTAATAAAAAGTTTTGAGTGTATTTTAGTCACTAATATAACTATAGTTGTTTTTAAACTGTGGCAATTTGTGATAACCCGATATGTCAAAAAGTTAGGTTATTACTCAATTAGCTGTCAATTTTTGAAAAGTGTGGTTGAAAGTCAAAAATTCAAAATTGATTTCAGTTACTTATTTTTGGAACAATTTTTTGCAAGTTTTTTGAGTTTAAAACTATTGAAACCTAAATATTCGTTAATAGTTCAATTAGTTTAGTTATTAATTTAGTATTTTTGCTACTTTTAATGCATAAATCCCTGACATACAACTATTCTTACCTCTCGTTAATTTTTTTAGTCTCCAGACTTAACCCCAAAAAAAAAAACAGAAAAGTAAAAACCTTACTTCTTCATTCTACACATTCTCAGAGAGAGGTTGCAAGCGTTTCAAAGTCAGTAGTGAGTCGAATTTAAAAAAAAAATGGTACAAATGTGACTCTAGAACCAGACCATGTCAACAAAAGTGGCAGTAAAGGATCACTACTCCATGTTATGACTGTAAATTTAAAGACATCTGTCTTGAAAACAGAAAAAAAAGTGTGGCTCAACTAGCTATAATTATAAACAATGAAGGAATTAACGTCTCCAAAAGGACGGTTCAGGGACGGTTGGTTGAAGAGAATTTAGTGTGCTATCGTCCAACCAAAAAAAGAATGTTTAACTGAAGCCATGAAAAAAAAGCGACTGGAATGGGCTAGAAAACACCAGAATATGACTATTGAAGACTGGAGTAGAGTAAATATAATTTATAATGTTGTAAGAAACCAGAAAATATTAAGGATAAATATTTATTTTTGAAATATCTTTGATATATTTTGCAGGTCAAATATCTTTAAAATGTTTTACAGGTCTGCTTCTTGGGCCAATCAGCATTTCAAATTTTGATGGACAAAAGCTCATTTGTTCGACGATGCCCAGAAAAAAATTTCACTAGGACTGCCTGTTGGAAAAGGTTCAACATCCTGTGAGTGTAGGGGTGTGGTCTGTGATCTCAGCCAAGGGTATGGGCTGCCTTTACATTGTGGAAGGAACCATGAAGCAGGATTGGTCCTGCCATATGGTTCCTTCTTTCAAGCGATTACTGGAAAACAGGCTCCTGCTCCAGGTCTAAGAATGGTTCCCTGGTAATGAAGAGTATATGTTCATGCATGACTCAGCACCGTCCCATAAAGCTAGAAGTGTTACAGCATTCCTAACTGAAAAAAAAGTGCATGTTTTGCCATGGCCAGGGAATTCACCTGATATTAACCCTATAGAAAATTTATGACAGTTCATAAAACAGAAAATTGCCAAAAAAAGTTATCACTACCAAGCAGCAATTGATAGAAACCCTTATAAGAGAGTGGAATAGCAACCTCAGTCTCCAACACAATGCAGAAGTCTACATAGATAGCATGCCCAGATGCCTGAAAGCTGTTATTGTAGCTAAGGTTTAGCTTTGATGAAATCGTTGATGATTTTTCCAGATTTTTTTTTGTATTACTTTGTTGTGATATCTTTCTACCATTAGCACCTATCTACCTTTTGATATCCATCTATCTTTATTTGGTATGCCAGCTTTTATACAATTCTGGCCTTCTTAAAAGTGTTGATAAAATGCAAAGAAAATTAGAGATTATTGCCTTAAAAGAAATATTTCAAAATAATGTGTGTCCAATAAGATCAAATAAAAAGTTTTTCCTATCAAATAAAATTATTTGTATTCATATGCTTTTGGTGTCTAATTATATAAGTTGTCACCAAATAAGTCTTGTGTGTTCTTTTAACAATTGGCTGCAAATGTTTATAATGTATTTGTTACATTCAGAGTTGACACATTTTTGTTATTTTAAAGTTCTAATAACTGTTAAGTTATTAGAAAATAAAGAATAGAGTTAAAGAGTAACAATTCGGTTGACACAAGACTTGAAAATTTGTAGGCTGTATGAGTTAGAAAAACATGATTACGGGAGAAAGTTCCAAAGGGTTCAATTAAGGAGAAAAAACTAAACAAATAAAAATTTTTATGGCATACAGGGACAGATACAGTAAAGAGGTGAGACTTTGCTAAATGACGAGTCAAGCAAAAATGAGTTTATGGAACTAGAGGTGAAAGCTCCTTTAAGTAGGGACCATGTTAGTATTTGTAGAATAGAGATGCAACTTGACGACGTTGAAAGAGAGGCTCTAGCTTGACAGATAGAGCAGGTACTACACAACTACATTTACAATGCATATTTGGACCTTATCTTGAGAAATAAGAGCATCAT